GCTGGAAAGTGAGAGGCAGAGTTTTAACCCTGCAACACAACCCCACAACCCACCCATTAACTGCCGCGCTGCCTCCAGGCCTGAATGCTCAGGAGTCAGAGGTGCAAACCATGGAGTTGATGTTGCCTCCTGGGAAACAGGGCCCGAGGTGACCTCTGAAGCAGTTGGGAGGACTGGAGAAAGAGACTGAGATAGCAATATAGCTCAGAATCTGACCCAGAATGGTCAGGAGAGAACAGAAGCTTCTAGACTCTGAATTATGTGATGTTTCTGCTACAAAGGGACATAAAGTTCCTGCCTAATGGTCCTCAACATTTGAGGCTTTTCACAACACTGGTTCATCCATCCATCCATCCACCCCTCCATTCCTCCCTCCAGATAATCTGTCCTTCATTCATGCAGAGATTATAAACCTCTCACTGTTTCAAGCATGGAACCCAACTGTTAGGGATGCACGGTGATTTGCAACATCTGTTCTAGAAGGGGAGACAGACAGGCAGAAGCAGGCAGTCAAAACTGCCAATTTGGGGCAAATAAATAACCTGCCAATTTATTTTTATTTGCTTGCTTGTTTGAGACAGAGTCTCATGTGTCCCAAGCTGGCCTTGAACTTGATAGGTAGCTAAGTATTACCATGATTCTTGATCTTTCTGCTTCCACCTCTTGAGTGCTGGGATTATAGGCATGTACCACCATGCCCAGTTTATGCTGTGCTGGGGATCAAACCTAGGGCTTCATGCACACTAGACAAATTACCAACTGAGTGACATCTATAGTCTCAAAGTTTTGCTGATTTTTCTCTTTATTTTCTGTGTGTGTTGCTCTAGCACGCATGCCATACTATGCAGGTAGAGGTCAGAGGACAACTTGTGGGGTCACTTTTCTCCTTCAGTGTGGGTTATAGGGCTCAAACTTAGGTTATCAGGCTTGGCAGCAAGCACCTTTACCCACTGAGTCATCTCACTGGCCCAGAAACTACTGATTTAAATGGCGATCACTCAAAAGGAATTGCTGCTGCTGCTGCTGCTGCTGCTGCTGCCGCGGGACCTGCTGCTGCCGCGGGACAAAGACAGTGGCGTTGAGTGTGGTAGGGCTTCCCCGAGGGGCCAACCTCTGAAAAGGAACCAAGCCATGCATGAGAATGTTCTACGCATCATCAGAGATTGGGTCAGAAGGCTGCGGGGTAGGGGGGAACCTTAGTCAGTTATGCCCTCTGTCCCTCATGTCTCTGGGGAAGGAAGGACTCTAAAGGTCCTGAAAACAGAATAAATCTCAGAACAGAAGTGGGGAAGGTCCTTTGTGTTTCATGGGGCTGAGGGCACAGCAGAGAATTTGACATACCAAGAGGACTGTGGCCCATTCGTGAGCCCGCTCCACAGTGCACCTACTAAGTACTGGTACAAGAAGACCACCAGGAGGCAAATGCCCTTCCTTACCACCCTGTGGGACTGCCATTCTGATAGGCTGAGCCAGATGAGAGCCATACACAGCTGGAACAGGATTGGGAATGAGACAGCATCTCCCTATAGCCACACCTGGCCTGGAACTCCACATGGAAACCAGACTGCCCTCAATCTCACAGAGATCCACTCGCCTCTACCTCCCAAGTGCAGGTTTAAAGGTGTGGGCCACCACGCCTGGCTTAAGTCGAGGCTTGACTGGTGAACAAGGGTGCATCTCCCTATAGCCACACCTGGCCTGGAACTCCACATGGAAACCAGACTGGCCTCAATCTCACAGAGATCCACTCGCCTCTACCTCCCAAGTGCAGGTTCACCACGCCTGGCTTAAGTCGAGGCTTGACTGGTGAACAAGGGCTAGCCTAGCAGAGCTCCGGGGGAGGGACTTCCCAGGCCGTGAGACAAGTGCAAAGGTCCGGAGGCAGGTGTGCACTTGGGTTCTTGGCTAGTCTGATGGCTGATGCATGAAGCCAGGACAGGAAGTGGAAGAGGGTGGCAGAAGGGGGACTGGGGATGGACAATCTTGCAGGCCATGGAAAGACACATTGATTTGATTCTAAAGACATGAGAGTTGTTGAAGAGCTTTAGGCCAGGGTGGAAAGTGATCCGAAAGAAGGCTTTAATGAATTTCTCTAGCTGCGATGGAGCCAATGAGGTACAGGAGCCAGAATGAATGAGGAGAAGCCGCTGGGATGGCTGGAGGTGGGACAGCAGCAACCATGGCTGTGCCAGGTGGTGGCACTGGAGATGGAGCCAAATGCTCAAGCCTGGAATATTCTTGCAGCCGTGAACTTTAGCTGATAGGTTAGATGTCGGGGCAGGGGAACTAACAGTCTAGACCAATGCTCAGGCTCTTGGCCTGCGTCCCAAAGTGGATGACCAGCTAGGGTATCTCTTACAGGAGAAAGATAGACCCGCCTCGGATGAATGAGCTAGCCACCTGGCTTGCAAGCAGGCGATCCAAGATCAGAATGCCTGGGGTAGCCCAGGCTGGAACCCCACCCACCCACCTCGAACAAGTTCTGCTCCAAGTCTAGCAGCCTAGCCACCAAGGTCTTTAAAGTGATCCTTCCCTGGGCTTTCAGGAAGGAGCTTCGTGCCGACATTATCCCTGAATGTTAATCACCCATGCACGTGGCAGCCTGAATCACTGTGGCCTTGACCGATGGAATATGTATTGCCAGCTAATTATAATTACCACCATTAATCATCAAGGCCAAGCCTTCCACACAACCTGTTTATCACCTGGGCACCACAGACTTTGTTTCAAAGTAAAAGGAATTCCTTTGTTTGTAGACCTTTCCTTAACCCAGTGACCGCCCCCGCCACAAGACACCACACGCTTGTCTGTCTGCAGGCACGTAGGCAGCTCCGCCAGGGATGCAATCAAGGATTCTGAGGACCCTCAGCCAAGACAGAAACAAATTTCTTTGGCAAAAGCTGAAATTTCAAGAGATCAGAATAGTCTCCTCCTAGGGAAACTTGAGGCCCAGAAAAGGAAGATACCCCAAGGCAGGACTCAGGAAATGTGTGTGTGTGTGTGTGTGTGTGTGTGTGCGTGTGTGCATGCGGTCTGCTTGTCTGTCTCTCTGTCTGTCTGTGGTTCGAGGGGTGGAACCCAGGGCCTCACACATGCTAGGTAAGTGCTCTGCCAAGAGTTCTTATCTCTTCCATGTTCTCAAACAATACAGATGGGCCTCAGGAACTAGGGAGTGACACTTTTGACAACTTGAATTTCCACAGGGCCTACAAAGCACTGTAGAATAGCTGAATGTCAAGTCCTATGACTTTCTGCCCAAAAAAGTCTGACTTTGAGCTCTTACTCCGTACCCCACTGAAGGCAGGTGCTGAGATTGCACATCCCAGTGACTCACCTTGTAATCTGTCTAGCCAGACACAGGCAAGCTAGTCATGTGGGAGATGAGGAGAGAGGCTGTATGTGGGACCACAGGTCCCAGCGAAGGGTGTGATCCAGAGAGGGTCCAGACAGAAGGTAGTGAGTGACTGAGCCTTATCTTGAAGGAAAACAAAAGTTCAAGGTTTAAGTAGTAGAATCTGGGCCCCTCAAAAGTGTCTACCTTCAACTCTCTGGAACCCGTGACTTTGCATCCGTACATTCGCAAAATGACCTTGAAACTGTGCCCAGGTGAAGCAGCTTAAGATGGGGAGATGGTCCTGGAATATCCAAGTGGCATGATGGAGTCCCAGGGTCCTTGTAAGAGGGAAGAAGGAAACTCAAAAGAAGAAGAGTTGGAGTGATGTGGCCAAGACCCAAAGACTGTCGCCAGACTCTAGATATTGGGAAAGGATTTAGGCATGGCCACATGCACCTGTCATGCTAGCATTTGAAGGCTGAATGAGGAGGATCAAAAAGTTCAAGGCCAGCTCAGGATACATAGCAAAACCCTATCTCCAAAGGAGAAAAGAGGGGTGATTGGGAGATGGCTCAGTCAGTAAAGTGCTCACCATACAAGCATGAAGACCTGAGTTCAGGCTCCAGCATCCAAGTAAAAGCCAGGCACAGCACCAAGCACTTGTAGTCCCAGTACTAGGGAGGCAGAGACAGGAGGATCCCTGGGGCTTGCCAGATGGCCAGCCTAGCCACATTAGCAAGTTCCAGTTCACTGAGAGACCTTGTCTCAAAAAATAAGGTAAAGAAAGATGGATGGCTCAGCTGTTAAGAGTATTGGATGCTCTTGCAGAGGTCCTGGGTTTGAATCCCAGCACCCACACGGCAGCTAACAACCATTTATAACTCCAGTTCCAGGGGATCCAATGCCTTCTTCTGGCCTCCAAGGGTATTACACAACATAGGTGTGCTTACAAACATGCAGGCAATACACTCGTACACATAAAATAATAATTTTTTTGAGACAGGGTCTCCCTGTAGTGGGACTGGCCTGGAACTCATGTAGACCAGGCTGGCCTTGAACTCAGAGATCTGCCTGCCTCTGCCTCCCGAGTGAGTGTGCCACTATGCCCAGCATAAAATACAAAATATTAAAAAACACTATGGCAGTTGATTACGGCAATAATAAGTGTGTGTGTGTGTGTGTGTGTGTGTGTGTGTGTGTGTGTGTGACAGAAAGCGAGGAGGGAGGGCAAGAGAGAGAAAAAAAACCCACATTAACCAGCTGAGCATTCTGAAGCCTTGCTGTGAGAGACTGCTACTACTTAGGAATCAGAGAGGTAAAGTGATCCAAGTCCATCAGGATAGAAAATGGAGACTGGGTTATAGGCAATGGAAGCCATGTGACCTGGTGTACTTGGGTCAGGGGAATTAAAAAACACTATGGCAGTTGATTACGGCAATAATAAGTGTGTGTGTGTGACCTGGTGTACTTGGGTCAGGGGGACAGTGCTGAGGAATGATGGGAGGTGGTGAGCGCTGGCCTCCGAGCCAGGCTGCTGGACATGGCTGGCTGCCCTGGGCCTGTTAGAGTTGGGCTTCTAGGTTTGGATTTTGTTGTTTGCACCGCTGTGAACATCTCTGGCTTAAAACCTAAACTGATTCTTTGGGTGTTATGCTCTCTTTTGAAGGCCGCTATGATGCCCGGGCCAGAGTCCTTGTTTGTCATGTGACTTCCCTGCTTCAGGTGCCCCTGGAGGAGCTCGAAGTTCTGGAGGAGTCATTCCTAGAGAGTCTGAAGGACGCCAAAGAGGAGGAGTCTGAGTAAGAGAGCCCTGTGGCCCCTGGCAGGAACCTGGATTCCACCTGAGGGCACTTTGTCCATCACTGGGCCCCTTTCCCATCGAGAGACCACACAGTGAAGTGGAAGGAGCACTGATAAAAAGTTCCAGTAGCCCAGGACCGCTATGTGACCTTACCAAGTCACTTGCCCTCTCTGGGCTTGTCTGCATTTGCAAGAAAAGATGCCGGATAAGGGCTGTGAGTGTGTGACAAAGGTCCAATGGCCTTGACACCCTGCTCCACCTCAGGCTTTTAGGACGTCTGTCTATGGGCGTATGTGAACCAGCTTCTATTTGACCTTGGCAGGCAACATCCTTTCTCTAAGCTTAAGATGGGTACAGGACAGCACCTTCCCAGGGTCACTGGGGAAAAGAATTTGATCATACTAGAAAATACTCAGCCCAGGGCTGGCAGTACAGGGTTGGTGGGTATGACCCCTCCCCTTCCCTCTCAAGCCCGTGCCCATCCGTGGTAGCACTGTTTTGCTATTATATACAATCAAGAGTGTGGAGAGGCAAAGATAGCTCAGTTGGTAATCCCAGCACTTGGGAGGCAGAGACAGGTTGATCCTTGGGACTCACTGGTCAGTGAGTCTAATCAAATCAGTGAGCTCTAGGTTAGTGAGAGACCCTCTATCGAAAAACAAATGATGGATGGCATCTGAGAAATGCCAGTCGAAGGTTGTCCTCTAGCCTCCACACGTGTACCCTGCCCCCACACGCACACACCCGAAAAGAATGTGGAGAGGAAACTTATCCTTGTGACTTGGCTAGAGCCCAGCTCTGGGCAGCATCTAATCCCAGTACAATAAATCGATCCCGATGTGCTGGCACCAGGCACGTCTGCCCAGTACTCACTTTGCTTCATCCTTCATGACTGTCTTTGAGTAGCTCAGCTACACCAATTCAGGCAGTGGAAGACAGAACCCCAAAGCCAAGTTCAGAGCCAGAGCTGCCTTCCTTCCAGAGCTATGGGGCAAAAGGGAAGGGTTATCACCTTGAGATGCGGCTGGTTGCAATAGCCTAAAGGAGTGATCTAGAGACGGCTCAGTCTGTAAAGAGCTTGCCATACAAGTCTTCGGACCTGAACTTAGGTCTCCAACACTCATGTAAAAACTGGGCACAGCAGTGCACGTCTGTCTTTCCTTCACCTGGAACCCTGGCACAGGAGACAGACTTCTTGGAGCTTGCTGGCCAACCAGTCTAGTTGAATCAGTGAACTCCAGGCTCAATGAGAGACCCTGTCTCACAAATAAGATAGAATGATTGATGAAGACAGCCGGTATCAACCTTTGGCTTCCGTGTGTCGCACACACACACACACACACACACACACACACACACACAAGAAAGAGCCTAAAAATGTTCCTGTTTGACTCACAGAACTATGTTGGGCAGCAAACAACTGGACCCGAACCAATGACTGTAATCACAAGAACTTTCCAGTTTCTTTGACCGGGTTTGAAGTGTGTTGGTCTCACAAGCTTTGACATTAGGTAACCTCTCAGTTAGCAAATCTGAGGATCTTGTTATCAGAAAGAAATATGTTCCAGAGGGTTCCATTCTGACAATATCAATGTCACTGGATCAGGGAGGGTGGAAATCAGAGGTTCCAACACACCCCAACTCTGAACTTTCCCAGCTATGTTATCTTGGGCTAGTTATTTCCTTTCTCCAGGCCTCAGTTTTCTTACCTGCAAAATGGGGGTAGTAATGAAAATCCTTTGCCTAGGTTTCTTGTGGAGCAGAAACTAGGCTGACAGAGTAACAAGGTCATGAATTTCATCATTTGTTATTTGTTAACAGTACAGTTGCCATTGTGTTATTATTAGATGTGGATGCTTTCCCCAGAAAGGATATGGAGTTTAGGGAACTGTGGTGCGCTCTGGGGTTCTCTAGAAGGATCCAAGGCTAGGGAAAGCATAGCCACTGCTCAGCCTGGACACCTGGCCTTCTGTTTGATCCTGTTGTGAACTTCTGTGTGGCATTGGGTGGGTTGCTTACCCTCTCTGAGCACCAGCATCAATTTATCATCTGTGCATTAAGGAATCAGACTATATGTAGATTTCTTTTAACTCTAAGGCCTTTTGTTTCTGAAAAATGAGCTTACCTGTGACACTTCTTCATAGGTTGGGTTTAGAATCTGATGGGACCCCACTGTGCTTGGTCCTCACCTCTGCGCTAAGGCCATTCAAGCCTCCCGGCATGACCTCACTGCTTTGTGTGTTTTCTTTAGCTCTAGCTTGGGGTTAATGGTAACATCAACATCAGAGGGCTGTAGAAAGGATTTAATTAATTACCTCACATCAAAAGCTTGGAACAGTGCCTGGCACGCAGTAGGCCTCAGTGACCCTTAGCTGATGCAAGGTTGGAGGCGGGAGCTCCTTGCAGTGTAAGAACATGGCAAATATCCAACAGAAGACTGCCCCAGCTGACCCCATACCTCCCCATGAGGGCTTACAGATGAGGGAAGTCATCCAGGTGACTTATGCACAGCTGTTCCATGGTATCCTGATTCAGCTCCTATGTCTAGCCTGAATGACATGTTCTGGGTCCCTTGAGACCTGATTCACAGTCTCAGGTTCCCTCTTTCCTAGCCTTCACTAGGACAGGCTCTCCAGGCCAGAGACAAGCACCCCTGTTTGTTAGTATGGGGTGGGAGGGGGGAGAGAGAGAGAGAGAGAGAGAGAGAGAGAGAGAGAGGGGTGTGCACCTGTGTGTGGGTGTGACACCCATACACAGCATGCACAGGACAGAGAAGGCCATCAGCTGTCCTGCTCTGTCACTCTCCTCCATATGCCCCTGAGACAGGGTCTCTCCCTGAACCTGGCAGCCAGCAAGCCCCAGCCATCTTCCCTCAGCACTGGAGTTATAGGCATCCCTAGGTTGGAGATATAGCTCAATGATAGAATGCTTGCCTAGTGTGTGTGAGGCCCTGGGTACCATCGCCCATATCACCTAAGAGAAGAGGAAGGAGTGGAAAGGATACAGGGAGCACACTGTCTCGGAGATCAGACGTCTGTGCTATGAGCGCTGTTGACCTTTTGCTTTTCTTGAGTTTTTGATGAGAGCGTGAGTCTGGCCTTGGCCTCCACCTTTGGCTGACACAGAAACACCAACACACGTCCGCGCCTAGCATTCTAGAAACCAAGTGTGGCCGTGACTGTCTGGTGGTGTGGGCTGCCATCATGTCTAATCACATGGCAAAGTCCACAGAACAAAGCAGTCATTTAGATTTAGAATTCTCAGAATTCTCACTTCCATGGAAGAGGAAGAAAGCATCCCAGATGTGACTCAGAGCAGAGGTCTCTGTGATGTGGAAATTCAAGCAGAAAGCCCAAGTAATCACAGCAGTAAAGTGTTGTGATAATCAGCCATGACTGGGAAGCCTATTCATTTTTCACTAAAGGCAATTATTAAGATGGTGCAACTATGGAAACAATAGGGTAAGAGATAAGCCATCCCAGCAAATATCAGGAAATAGGGCCTCTGCTAAGCAACTTTAGGAAAAATACCTCCTTGGGGTTGGCAACATGGCTAAGTGGGTAAAGGTGCCTGCCACCAAGCCTGACTACTTGGGTTCAATCCCTGGGATCCATAGGGTAGAAGGAGAGAAAGGACTCCCACAAGTTTCCTCTGACCTCTTCTATATACCATGACACATATACTCGTGCGCGCACACACACACACACACACACACACACACACACACACACAGGCGCACACATACATGCGCACAAATGAAATAAAATTTTTGAAAAAAATAACTTTTTTGGGGGGTTTCTTGATATGGGGTCTCACTATGTAGCCTGGAACTCACTATGTAGACCAGGCTAGCCAGCCTCAGTCTCACAGAGATTGCCTTGCCTCTGCCTCTGGAGTGTTGCAATTCAAGGCATGTGCTACCACACCCAGCTTATTTTTTAATATTTTATTTACTACTTTTATTTTATGTATATGGGTGCATTGCCTGCATGTGTATAAGCGCACCATGTCATGCAGTGCCCTTATATGTTAGAAGAGGGCATTGGATCCCCTGGAACTAGAATTAAGGACAGTTGTTAGCTGCCATGTGGGTGCTGGGAATCAAACCCAGGTTCTCTGTAAGCGCAGTCTGTGTTCTTAACCACTGAGCCATCTCTCCAAACCCAATATTATTATTACTATTATTATTATTATTTTATTTTTTAGAAACAGGACCTCCCTGTAGCCCCAGCTGGCCTGGAACTCACTATGTAGACCAGGTTGGCCTTGAACTCACAGAGATCCACCTGCCTCTGCCTCCCAAGTGCTGGGATTAAAGGAATATGCCACCTATATACTCCAATGCCAATTCAATCCCAGTTTTTAAAAAGAAAAAAAAAACTCTTTTTCCAGCCAACATTTAAATAATAACACAAAGGGGAGTTCTGGGGCTTGAAGCGTGCCCTGCATCTAAGTTTTTCAGAGGTACTCTAATGGACTGGCATTCACACATCTGAAGCACACAGACCTCAGGGACCATATTTATTTTTTTGATACTTTACTCCATTTAGCTAAACATGCTGGCCCTCTAGTACTGTTAGTGTATGGTCATCACTGTTAGAAACAATCCAGAGGCTGACAGTGATGTCATGTCAGTGACCCAACTCTGAAATCTTACTAGGTTCTCAGTAAAAAAAAAAAAAGTCGGTAATAATTAGAAATGTTTTCTGACACTTCCCACTTGATCTCTTCTTCTATATGGCCTGTACCCTGTCTACATGCTTTTATGTAGCCAACATACCCATTCTGTGCCTCTCTGATTTTCATAATGAGTTGAGGGGCTATGTCACCAAGTCAAAGTGGACAGTGCTTCCTAGGATAATTGGGTTCTATTCAAGCAATGAGTGTTAGGGCTGGGGACATGGCTCAGGGGTAAAGTGCTTGCTGTGCAAGTGTGAGGACTTGAATTTGAATTCTCAGCACCCACATAAAAAGCCATGTATGGCAGGATGCACCTGTAACCCCAGTACTGGGGGTGGGGATGGAGGTGGAAACAGGCAGACCTCTAAAGCTCACTGGCCAGTTAATCTAGCCAAATTCACATATGCTGAAGGTTCAATGAGAGACACTGTCTCAAAAAATAAGGTGGAGAAGCTGGGCGTGATGGCACAGACTTTTAACCCCAGCACACATTCAAGTCAGTGTCTGGGGAACCTCTGACTCCAGAACCACACAGCCTGTCACTGGTAGATGCTGTCAGGAGCCGTAACATTTCACGCAGGCCTTCAACTGGTCCAGGAGCCAATAGTTTCCAGCGCTCCTGTTTGAACTGATTAAAGAGCCATCAAGGAAGAGTCAAAGCCATTACAGGTCAAAGTACATCCCAGTCTCTGTTTAGGAAAAAATGACTAGAGCAATGAGAAGCCCGGTAATAGTGAAAACACGCCAAACAGTGACACTATGCCCATCACTCTGGGTGGTCAGGTCATGCAGGCCTCAAACAAGGTTGTGTACTATCATCCCCATTTGCTGAATGAACAAACTCAGATGTGACAGGGAATCTGTTCAATGTCACAGTCAATAAGTGACTCTGCCCCTCAGGGTAGGGAGATTTTGCTACTGCAGTAAATCCCCACGACTTCTGTCAACAAAGGCCTATTGTTCCCTGTGTCCCTGAAGATCAGCTGTGGGCATTTAAGTTTTTTATTTATTTATTTATTATTTATTTGTATTTGTACTTTAAGTATATGAGTGTTTTGCCTACATGTATGTAAGTGCAACACACACATGCAATGCCTGCAGAGGCCAGAAGAGGGCGTCTGATCCCCCTGGAACTGGAGTTACTGATAATTGTTAGCTGCCATGTGGGTGCTGGGAATGGAACTCAGGTCCTCTGCAAGAGCAGCCAGTGCTCTTAGCCACTGAGCCATCTTTGCAGTCCCTGACTATGGGTTCCATTCCTGTAATCTTGGCTCTGCACTCCAGGCTGACAGCGTGACTCCTGTTTGCTGTACTGCTGATCTCAGGTCAGGGAAAAAGGAGACCTGTCAGCCTCCTGAACTGGCTCTTAAGAGATTCTGCAGGAAATGACATGCATCATTTCCTCCTGTGTCTCATTAAGGGATGCTAGCCAGTGGCTGTCAGTTGATAGGGCAGGGGATGCATGGTCAGTCCTGCACATCTGACATTTCTACACCTTCTATTTAACCAACCGTGGATCCAAAACAGTTTTCTTTCTTTTTGTCTTTCTTTCCTTTATTTTTCTTCCTCCTCCCTCCCTCCCTTCCTTCCTTTCTTCTTTCTTTTTTCTTTATTTTCTTTGAGACAAGGTGTCAATGTAGTCCAGGCTGACCTGAACCTCCTCTGTACACAGCCCAGGCTACATGGGGCTGAATTTCTAGTCCATCTAGTCCTTCTGCCTATACCTCCCCCAGCACTGGGATCACAGGTGTGTGTTACCATGGCTGGCCTAAAAAATATTTTTAAAAACAAAAAAAGATCTGTTCTGAACATATTGCAACTCCATTTCCCTTATCATTACCCAAACAATACAGTATAGTGACTATGTACAAAGTAGGTATTGTCTGAGATAGGACATCTAAACACCTTTAAAGTTCACCCCTAGTCACATCCCACCTTCCATCTGCCGTGTGCAATCCTGCGCCCACCGTGCACAAAGATTCTTATCCCTGGTCTCTGCTTCACTACGGCGGAGCAGCTGATAAGGCTTGCTTTCCACCCAGTGGCTGCACAGGAGAGAAATATGTTCAAGTGAGCTGGCAGGGAGCCAAAAGTGCCCCAGCTCCCCAGTGTCCAAGGCACATGCATCTCTTCATGTAACACATGAGAAAGGATCCAGACATTTGGTTGAACATGGGGAGTTTGGGCGCACAGAAAGGCAGACTCCAGGACGCCGCAGTTGGCCATTTGCAGTTTGTTTGTTGGCTAAATAGACAAAGCAGAAATGAACTTCATCTTTGCCAAACAACAGCCTTAAGAAGTACATGTTGGGCTGGAGAGATGGCTCAGTGGTTAAGAGCACTGGCCGCTCTTGCAGAGGACTTGGGTTTGATTCCCAGCACCCACATGGTAGCTAACAACCATCCGTAACTCCAGTTCTAGGAAATACACTCATACACATAAAATAAAAATAATAAATAAAATATTTTTTTAAAAAACATACATGTCATTGGGCACCCAAGATGGCTCAGTAGGTTAACCTGCTGCCAAACCTGATGACCTGAGTTCAAACCCTAGGACCCACAGAGAACCAACTCCTGCAGGTTGCCCCCTGACCTCCACACATGCACGTTCACACACACATGCCTTCACACACACGTGCACATATAAATGTAATAAAAGTCTTTTTAACAGACTTACATATTATAGTCCTTGGTTTTTTTTGAATTTTGTTATTTTCATTTTATGTGTATGCATGTTTTGCCTGCATGTAGGTAAGTGCACCCGTGTCAGCAATGCCCATGGAAGTCAGAAGAGGCTTTCAGATCCCCTAGGACTGGAGTTCCGGACAGTTGTTAGCTGCCGTGTGGGTGCTGGGATTTGAACCCGGGTCTTTTGCAAGAACAACCAGTGCTGTTAACCGCTGAGCCATCTCTCCAGCCCCTTATTATCCTTGTTTATAAGAGACTGATTCTCAGGATAAAGTTATAAAATGACAACAGTCACTGTTCCTCTAATGACATGAACTGTATGAATTCATATACTAGATGATGTTAGATGGTCTCTTAATTGCCCCCACAGCCCCTCTGGATTAACCATTATTATCTTCTTAACATATCTAAATTGTGGGGATAACGATAAAACTGCTTCTTAGGAAGTGTGGGAAACCCACAGTGCCGAGCCTGGTGTATGGGAATCCCTCACTAAATATTAACCACTTTCCGTCATTTATTATCACCGTTATTTGCTCTCACTTCGAGTTCAGTTGTCCAAACTCCAGCTTCGGTTCAGAGTTCTTTTATAACGACCCCTCCACCCACCCGCTACCTCTCCTCCTGCCCTCAGTCAGCCTTAAAGCAACAAGGGCTAAAGACACAGCAGGAAAACAGGCTTCTTAACTCCTGAGCACTTGTGATAGCCATTTTCAGAAGAACTAGAGATGTAGCTCAGTTGGTGGAGTGCTTGCTTGGCGTGCCTGAAGCCCTGGGTTCCATCCCCAGCACATCACAAACTGGTCATGGGAAGTAGAGGCAGGAACATCAGAAGTTAGAGGTCATCCTCTGCTACATAGTAGGTTTAAGACCAGCCTGGGCTACATGAGACCCTCTGTTAGATAACTACAAAACCCTTACTTAAATAAAACCCATCCGTTTTCATTCCAAATGCCTTCTTACCTTTGACTAGAGCTTATAACATGTAAGTTTTAGGTGTGAATGAGTCCAGCTGTTACTACAAGGCCAAGGTTTCCGATGCAGACATCTCTCTAACTCATCTCCCAATGATTTTTCTGGGGGAAATGGGTTTCCAAATATCCCCAGAGGAGGCAGGATCCCCTGGTAGGGTCTGATGGCCAGATCCCATGGCAGGATCTGATGGCAGGCTGGGGGACATCTGTACTCATTCTGGGTCCATGGGTTCTGTTGAAAGCTATTTCTTGTGCATTTCTTGCTATTATTATTATTATTTTTTTGTCTTTTCATTATTCAAATTGCACCCCTGTTAGGATGGATCTGCTGGGTAAGTAGTGCACCCTCATTCACCAAGATTCTTCCAACCATCCAAGGGCCTAGGGTCACTCTGCATAACAGAGAGCCCACCCATCTTTGACCTTGGGTTTAGGGGTTGGTGAAAGGGGAGGGCTCAAGGGATCCTGGACCACTGCTAGTCCTCAGGACCAACCTCTTTTCTCTAGGACTGCAGAGGCATCCCGTAAGAAGAAAGAAAACCGAAGGAAATGGAAACGCTATCTCTTGATAGGCCTGGCCACCGTTGGAGGCGGGACAGTGATCGGTGAGGCCAGCTGGAGGTGATCGTTCATGAGCTGGGGCCTTACAGAGCCAGAGACTCCTGTGTAGGGGTGAGGGGGATGGTGGCCTCAGCATGTGACAGGTACTTGAGTCAGTAGTAAATATGCTCATCAACATTGATAGAAGTTCCCTGGACATGGTGGTGCATGCCTGCAATCTCAGCACTTGAGAGGTAGAGGCAGGAGGACCAGGAGTTCAAGGTCATCCTTGGCTACATAGTGAGTTCAAGGCCAGCTTGGACTACATGAAACCCTGTCTCAAAAAAAAGGCATTGCTGCAATGCAAGCTTCCAGTGGGCAGCTAATGGGACAAGAACCCTTCAAGCCATGTCCTGACTGAACTCTTACCCTGCAGGTGTGACTGGGGGGCTAGCTGCCCCCCTTGTTGCTGCAGGAGCCGCCACTATCATTGGCAGTGCTGGGGCGGCCGCACTGGGCTCAGTGGCCGGCATAGCAGTTATGACCTCACTGTTTGGTGCCGCTGGAGCTGGTCTGACAGGTAAGGTTAAAAAGGGACAGAGGATTGAGGGGGCTGGAGAGATGGCTCAGCAGTTAAGAACACTGGCTGTTCTTGCAGAAGACCTGGGTTCGAATCCCAGGACCCATATAGCAGCTAACAACTGTCCGTAACTCCAGTTCCAGGGGATCCAACAGCCTCTTCTGTCCTTCATGGGCACTGCACGACACATGTGCACTTACCTACATGCAGGCAATACGCACATACACATAAAAATAATAAATAATTTTTTAAAAAAAGGAACAGAGGGTTGGAAAGGACATTTACCCCTTCTTAGCCCAAAGAACACCCCAGATGGCTTCTTGAGACATGACTTTGCCCCCCGTCTGGACACCAGCAGACTTGCACTAAACCTCAGAGGCTGCTGGGCCATAATTCAGCATGGCCAGGGTCAAGGGCAAGTCTGAAAAGTGTACATTATGAGTAGTTCCTGAGAAAGATTCCAGATGAGCCTGCTAACAAGAGATGTTTAGGCATGACATAATGCTTGGAAGCATAACACTTCCTTGAGTCCAGAAAGACAGTGGCTGCCCCTGGCCACCAGCCTCACCTGTGTCAGTGGCCCCCATACACATACAAACACACACACACACACACATACACATACACACACACACACACACACAATGCGTGACATCTCCTCACATGAAACATTGCTCCCCTGCCGAGAACCCCAGTTAGCTTGATCACTAATAGGAGCATTATGGGATGGCCTGGCAGGGTGTGAGGAAAAGAGATACCAACCGAAGCAGGCCTGGGTGATGGTTAAGAGCCTGAGTTCAGACCCTAGTCTTCAACTCTAGTGACCTTGGACAGTGTTAGTCACAAAGGAGATACATTTGTCTGGGAGTTGGCACAGGATGGGCACTTGCTTTCTGAGTCTATGGGCACAGACAGTTGCGTGTTCTGTGTCCTTAGGATACAAGATGAAGAAGCGAGTTGGGGCCATTGAAGAGTTTATGTTCCTGCCTCTGACGGAAGGCAGGCAGCTGCACATCACCATCGCCATCACTGGCTGGCTTGGGTCTGGCAGATACCGTAAGGACTGGGGCGGAAAGGGATTTGGAAGGGGAACTTAGCCTGCAGCTGTTGGCCACCTGGGCTAGTTCTTCCCTGTCTCTAAGGGGTGGGTATGGGAGGCTCATTTTACAGAGAAGAAGCAGGCCCAGAAAGGTGAGAGGCCCATCCTATATCCACCTACCTGTGCATCTATATATCCATCATCTATCCAAGAATCCACCTATCTATCCATCTATCATCTATCTACCCATCCACCCATCCACCAGACAGCCAAGAAATTTCCCATCCATCTACCCCTCAGCAAGCCAAGAATTCACCTGTCCGTCCATCCATCCATCCATAAATCATCTATCCACCCATCCACCCATCAGATAACCAAAAATCTACCCACCCATCTATCTATCCATCCATCAGCAAGCCAAGAATCCACCCATTCATCTATCATCAACCATCTATCCACCCATCTACCCATCAGACAGCCAAGAATCCACCCACCCATGTATCCATCCATCACCAAGCCAAGAATCCACTCATCTATCCACCCATCTGTCCATCAGCAAGCCAAGAATCTACCTATTCATCCATCAATCAACCATCTATCCACCCATCTACCCATCAGACAGCCAAGAATCCACCCACCCATCCATCGATTAATCATCCACCCATTTATCCATCCATCAGCCAACTAAGAATTCTCCCATCCATCCATTGATCCATCCATCATTCATCTATCTAATCATCCATCTATTCAGCCACCCATCTAGCCAGCAATATTTTCAGAGTAACCAACCCCCTACTACCCACCAATCATCTGTCCACCCACCATCATTCAACCACCCATCTGTAAAGTATCATATTTACCATGTGCCACACAGGAAGCCAAGTCCTAGGTATTCAGTGGTATACAGTCACTTTCTGTGCTCCCACGGAACACACAAGCTAGAAGAGAGACCAAATAGTAAGAAGCTTTATGGATGACTGGGGAACATTCCTGGAGGAAGTGATATTTACACTAAGGGCTGGCTAGGAGTTCACCAGATAAAGAGCAAAAAGTGTACACTAAGCAATGGGGCAGCATGTGCAAAGGCCCAGTGGTGGAAAAGAACCAAGTGGAGCACAGGATGGTATTAGCAGGAAGCCAGAAGGCAGAGTGTGGGCAAGAAGCCAGAACGCAGGCATGTGGACAAGCCCACACCATACAGGAACATGTGAGCTGTGTTAGAGAACCTGAAATTATCCTCAGAACAAGTGGGAGCTCCTGAAGGGCTCTAAGCACAGGGGTGAGGGATTGGTACGTTCTTAGCTATGTGACTTCCAGCAAGTTCCTTACCCACACCTCAGTGGCTTAACTTGTCTAGTCGAGTAAAACAGTAAGGTTGAGACGAAGATTAAATTAAACCAGGTAGCATGTGGCCGTTCCTGCTGGCATTGGGCGAGCATCCGTTCTCCTGCTTCCCTCTGCATGTGCTTCGGAGGACTCCACCCAGGGTGTCTGGGGTGGGGGGTGAGGGGAGGGAGAGGGAGGGAGGGAGGGACAGACAGAGAGAGAGACTGACACCCAACTCAGGATGCAGAATGAGCATGTATTTGCAGACAGTGATGAGAACAGCAGGAAGTGCAGGCGCCTTTGAGCTGTCAGAGGGGCCTGGAAGGCTTCCCTCTGGAGGTTGGGGAGCCGGGATCTCAAGAGCCAGAGGAAGGAAGTCGAGGACCTGATGTAAGACTGGGGGCTATTGAACTATTTGTGGCAGGGGTCAGAGCAGGTGTGTGTCAGGCAGAAACAAATGGGGCCAGATCAAGTACCCTCCTGAAGACTGGGGGCTATTGAACTATTTGTGGCAGGGGTCAGAGCAGGTGTGTGTTCTGCCCCAGGCAGAAACAAATGGGGCCAGATCAAGTACCCTCCTGAAGGCAGAAGGAGACTGAGGGAAGGAGGGACAGGTGGTCACAGTTACCCTTGGCCTCTGTGGTGCTGCGTCTCCTCTTCCTTCATGGGGTCACTGCTCATTTCTGTGTCCTAGGCGAGGAAATGGAGGCTCAGAACAGTGGTGCCTCTCTCCTACTCCCAGATTATTTCCCACTCAGTGTTTCTCAGGTCTGGGTGCCACCAGTTCCCCAAACCCTGGATTGGAAGCTATGTCTGAACAGAGTTATAGGGCAACAGTACATTCTTCTACCCTACTGACTACAGCTGATCAGGGTGCAGGCATGAACCCTCGGGGGCTCTATGGTGAATTCTCAAGGTGCCTCGTGGTTGCCGATGTGATTCAGTGGGTGGGGCACCCTCTGCCACAGCCAGGAGGGGGCGCCAAGTATACCTACCTGTATTCTCTCTAGGCACCTTCAGCACCCCATGGGCAGCCCTAGCCCACAGCCAGGAGCAGTACTGCCTGGCCTGGGAAGCCAAGTACCTGATGGAGCTAGGCAATGCACTGGAAACCATCCTCAGTGGCCTCGCTAACATGGTGGCCCAGGAGGCCCTCAAGTACACTGTGCTGTCTGGTAAGTGCCCCGCCCTGGCCAGCCATGTTATGGCACAGTGGCACCAAATCCTTGCATGCCTGTGACCCACGGGAGCCTAGCAGTATACTAGAGACAAAGGCAGCAAGTCAAAACCATGTCAGGAAGTGCTCTGCCACTTAGCTGCATCTTCAGCCCTGTTTTTACTTTTTATTTTGAGGCAGTTGCCCAAGCTGACCTTGAACTCACCCTGGAGTCCAGGCAGGCCTTGAACTTTCAATCCTCCTGCCTCAGCCTCCTATGCGAGAAGTTCGTGATTTTGTGACAGGAGACAAGGCAACAACCAATCACAGAATGTGTCTGTTAGCTCTAGCTACATAACAAGTCAGCCCCAAATTCATAGCCTGAAATAATAATCACTTATTCTAATAGCGTGGGAGAAGGGAGGCTGGAGTTGGCTCATCTCAGTGAGGCCTGATCATGAGTCTTTGAACTGAGTCCCCTGACTCAGGCTGGCTTTACCTAAGGCTAGTAAAGTAACTTGGTTCTGTCCCATATGTCTGTCCTCCTGAGGGCAGCAAGCTAGCCCATACCAGTGACAGAGTGTGGGAGAGGTGACCCAACACCCAAGACCAGTTCAAGCCCCACGTCTGATGTCTCGTTGGCCTAAGCAAGTCACATGGGGGGTGGGGTGCCACAGGCAAGAATGTGTGGTAGAGGGACTGTGTGGGTCTGTCTTTGGAAGCTCACAGTGACAAGTCCTTAGAAGAGATTTGGTTTGTGTAGCAGAAACACTTAAGTTTCAAGTTTTTCCTTTGCTAGTTAGTGATAGAATATGTGACTTTCAGGAAAGCCATAAGCTTCCTTAAAGGAGGCCATAAAGACATAAATCCCTTAAAGTGTCTAACTGGCTCTAAATTGACAGTCTGGCCTTGCTCAAGCCTTATTAACCAGTCACTCCCTAGACTGAGAGAGACTGTGGAGCCCACCTGTCTCCTTTAGTGCTATAGATAACTGACCCGCCTGCCTGAGCAAATAATCTTCAGAAAAGAGCCCCTCGAGGACACCAGATCCTGGCACAGAGTTAAAACTCTTGCAGCTGTGTGCAGCAGCATTCCTATGTAAGACCAGACTGCTCCCTCTTCAGTGCGCAGATAATCATTGCTCAAGGAAAAGCTTTTATCAGCTTTGCTGGGTTTCCTGAATCAAGGGAACTCATTCCTTGCCTGCTGCAGGTCTGGCTCTGACTCTTATTTCTAAACTTTAAACTCCTTCCTTTTTCTGCCCTCCTAAATCTAACAGTTAAGAGTCTGGCATTAGGACACATTTGAATTCCAAGTTTGAGTCTGTACTTACTGGCTAGAGAATCTATGAGCGCCATGCTTTCCTAGCAAATACCCTCTCCCACTTCACCCTTGACTTCTCACTCCCCAGGTATCGTGGCTGCCCTGACCTGGCCTGCATCCCTCCTCAGCGTTGCCAACGTCATCGACAACCCCTGGGGTGTGTGTCTCCACCGGTCCACAGAGGTTGGCAAGCACCTGGCCCACATCCTCCTCTCACGGCAGCAGGTACCTGGGAATGGTGGCAGTGGGGGTTCAAAGGAAGGCAGACAAGGGAACCCTTGTATATCTACACTGACGCGAAGCCCGTTGAGGCACTGCTTTCTTCCCCCTCTCTTATACATTTATATGTTATTTTGATGTATTTCCTCGGAGTTTGAAAGGAGAATTTTTTTTTTAATGACAAGCATTTCACTCTTTTATTTTTATAATTCTCTCTATCTGGGTTTAAAAAAAAAGACAAGAAAGGAGGAAGGAAGGAAACTAAGGAAATGAGATGTTCAGGGGCTGGAGGATGGCTCAGCGGTTAAGGGCACCGACTGCTCTTGCAGAGGACCCAGGTTCAATTCCCAGCACCCACATGGTGGCTACAGTTTCCAGTTCCAGGGGAATCCGAAGCCCTCTTCTGACCTCTGTGGCATTGCACGACACGGGTGCACTCACATACGTGTAGGCCATACACTCATACACATAAATTTTTTTAAGAAAATAGAAATGACATGTACAAAGGAAGCTGACAGATGAGGTGCCTTTTAAAAGGTGGCCAATAGGTCTGAAGGGACTGCTCAGCGGTTAAGAGCACTGGCTGCTCTTCCAGAGGACCCAGGTTCAGTTCCCAGCACCCACATGGTGGTTAACAACCATCCATAACTCCAGAGGATTAGACACCGTCTTCTGTCCTCTGTGGGCACTGCATGGTACAGGTGCACTTGCATACCTACGAAACACTCATACACAAAAAATTTTTAAAAAATCAAAAATGGCAAGGCGTGATGGCACACACCTTTGATCCCAGCACTCAGGAGGCAGAGGCAGGCGGATCTCTGTGAGTTCAAGGCCAGCCTGGTCTACATAGTGGGTTCCAGGCCAGCTGGGGCTACAGGGAGACCCTGTCTCAAAAATACCAAAAAAATAATAATAACAATTAAAAATGACTTCTAGGAAATGAAAACTTTTCCAGGGTTACCAAAAGGCACCACTGAGGCTTCTTCCAAAGCAAAGGAGTCTGTGTTTGCTTTTAGGGAAGAAGAAAGATCATTCACTTCAGAAATAGTTAAAAGGCAAAAAAACTTTAAAGATGTATTTACCAAGAAATGAAATTATCCCCTTCAAAAGAAACTTCAGTTGAACAGAACTAATATCAGGGATGGCTGGATTTGATGGGTTTTATTTAGGCTGCAACAGTGGCTTACACAGACAGGGAACTGGGAAGATGCCTTAGTGAGCAAAGCACTTGATGTATGAGCCTGAGGATCTGAGTTCGAATCCCCAGCACTCATGTGAAAAACTGGGTGTGGCTGTGTGCTCCTATAACCCTGGGACAAGTGAGGAGGGAGCTGAGACAGGAGGACACCGCTGGGGCATGCTGACCAGCCAGCCTAGCTCCATGTTCACTGAGAGACTGTGTCTCAAAGGAATAAGAGAGTGGTAGAGCAGGATACCACACGTCCTCCTCTGGCCTCGTGGGTACCCCAGTACACACAGGTACATACAACACACACACACACAAAGCCAAGGTGGAAGCTTGTCATCAGTAGAGATACCTAGGGCAACTGTCAGGCACACTAATAGTATGTGCCACTGGGGAGAGGCCCATGTAACTTCTACCTGGTGTGTAACCTTGACCTCCTGCTCAAAGTTGGCAGTCTCTGAGCTCTGAGGGAGGACAAAGGAGAAGCTAGAGGTGTAAAAGCAGGTGCCAGCCAGGCGTGGTGGCACACCCCTTTAATCCCAGCACTTGGGAGGCAGAGGCAGGTGGATCTCTGTGAGTTCAAGGCCAGCCTGGTCTACCTAGTGAGTTCCAGGACAACTGGGGCTACAGGGAGACCCTGTCTCAAAGACAAAAAAAAAAAAAAAAAAAAAAAAAAGCAGGTGCCAAACAACCTGTCAGTTGAGCAGAGCCTAGTCACATGATCACACTTGCCTGCCTCAGAAGCCAGGAAATACAGTCTTTATCCCCAGAGACCTTGCAGTCAGCTGAAATTCAATTACTGTAGACAAAAAGAAGAACAGATATTTGAGAGACCTGGAAGTTTCTGCCAGTATGTGAGTGTTGCCTGAGAAAATACTAACTTCAGCCAATCCCTGGACCTGTCCCTCCCTAAAATAAAAAGAAAGCCAGAGTACTCCTTTGACAGGTCCGGCTGGCAGGCATTGGCTTAAGGAGATGGAGGTTTATTGTCTCTCAAGGAACTGTCTTGGTGTCAACAACCAGGGAAGGCCGAGACTGTTAGCGTCCTCACCTCTCACAGGCTTATTACCCTACAGTCTGGCAAGCAGAAGCCCCACACATCTCCACAGGGTTGCCATGGAGGCTACAGCTAAGCATCCATCTCCTGGTCATTTCCAACTTCCAAAGGCCTCTTCCTCCTCTGGCTTCTCGCCCCTCCTCCATCTTCAACGCCAGCAGTGTCTAGAGCTTTAGCAGATCCTGTCCACCCCTCTTCCCTCATATTCCAGTCTGTCTGACTGACCCTGCATCCCCAACTCCTGCATCCCCCTGACTCCTGCATCCCCCTGACTCCTGCATCCCCCTGATTCCTGCATCCTCCTGACTCCTGCATCCCCAACTCCTGCATCCCCCTGATTCCTGCATCCCCCTGACTCCTGCATCCCCCTGACTCCTGCATCCCCCTGATTCCTGCATCCCCCTGACTCCTGTGTCCCCAATTCCTGCATCCCCCTGACTCCTGAATCCCCCTGACTCCTGCATCCCCCTGACTCCTGCATCCCCCTGTTTCCTGCATCCCCCTGATTCCTGCATCCACAACTCCTGCATCCCCCTGACTCCTGCATCCCCTGCTCCTGCATCCCTGTTATTTGTTTACATATTTATTTAGGCTTTTGGTATCATTCTGTAGCCCAGGCTGGACTAGAACTCACAACATAACCCGGACTGGCCTCAAATTCATAGCACTCATCATCCTACCTCATCTTCCTGTGTTCTGGGGCGACGGGCATGAGCCACCGTACTTGACTAAGACTTTTTGTGTGTGAGCAAACGAGTTTATTGGAGTCACTTTCAGAAGCATTGATGAGGATTTACTTACAGGTGCATGGGTGGTTCAGGCAGCTGCATCAGTGAAACGTCTCTAGCTTGGGTGACAACTCAGGAAAGCTGTATCACTCTAGTTCCCTGGACAACTTGTAGACAGCTGCTCCACAGAAGAGTCTCCCCCCATTTTACTGCTTGTATAACCTTGGGGAGAGGGGTGCCTGGGTCTTCTAACTTTCTTGTGTTTCATGACCCCCCCCCCAATGAGGGAATGTTTCCATCTGGAGGTAAAAGCTATACAAAGGAAGCTTTCAATACAAGGAAGTAAGGCAGTAAGATGTGGGAAATGTGACTTTGTCATTGTACCCACAGTGTAGGAGAGGGGGTCAGGAGTAGAGGTAGATTAAGTGGGAAATTTAGATGGAGCCATAATTTGAGTATTTTCTTGACAAAGCAAAGGGCTAAGACTGCTTATTTCAACGTTCCCTCACCCACAAGCCTCCAGTAGCGTCCCTAGATTTTGCAAGTTTGTGTCATTTTAAATAAAGAGAATGTTCCTTGGCTCTTCCCATGTATCTAGGCACAGAGCTCTTTGCTGCGTTTTGCATTATTATTATTAGACAGCCACATCTTCACACACTTCATTTATAACCTCTCCCCGCCGCTTTGATATTCCTACATCGTTATTAAGTTGTAGAGAAACCATCCTTTGACCTTCTTTCTCCCCGTTGTCTTCTCTCTTCATTGTCTCCTTGGTGTGTAGAGCTGCCTGGGATCTGCCATCAACAGTCTCATCTTTAGTTGTATGTACTATGCCTGTGTCAAAAGCCTACATTCTAAATTCTGATCAGTCATTTTGAAGATTTTGCGAGGCAAATATGTTAGAAATTTGGGGTAATATTGAATCATCTTTGTATCTCAATGATTAGCAAGAAAGTAAAATACTCGACATACTGGCTAAGATTCTTAACTAGATAAAGTTCCGGTCCATACAGTAGGTTACATTCACAAGTTCCAGGGACTGGGATGCGATCATCCCAACAGGAGCTGTTATTCTGTCTTCTGGGAGCCTGGCCTCCTTCAGTCTTGTGATCTCATCCATAACACCTGGCTTCTTTCTGTGTCCAAGTGGCCTCTCTCAGCATCACATACACATCCCAGACTCCTGGAGGTTTAACATAGAAATGAAGGGCATTCCCAGAAGTCACAGCTATCCCCAGTCTTCTCTCCCCTGGCCAAGACTCCACCCTATGAACATCCTTAGCTGCAAAGGACTTAGGGAAGTATGCCCAGGAGGACTCAGAACAGAGAGGGAAAGGATATTAGATGACCAGCAATTTGGGCTGCAAAGTTCTTACAGAATTTAATTACTACTTAAAGAAGAATTTTTCTGTTATAATAACTGGGATATATATATTCCAACCCCCTTTACATATATATATATATGCACAAAAAACAAGGAAAGGGGGCTGGTGAAATAGTTCAGTGGATGAAGGCACCTGCTGCCAAGCCCCATGACTTGAGTTTGATCAGGGACCCACATGGCAGAATGAGAGAACCTGCTCCTGCAAACTGTCCTGTGACCATGTGCACACCCACATATATATGTATACATACATATACACATGTAAGTAAATTAAGATGTAATAAACATGTCTTTAAAAAAATTGAAACGGGCTGGAGAGATGGCTCAGCGGTTAAGAGCACTGAACTGCTCTTGCAGAGGACTCGAGTTCAATTCCCAGCACCAACATGGCAACTACGAACCATCCTTAACTCCAGTTCCAGGGGAATCGGAAGCCCTCTTCTGACCTCCAAGGCATTGCACTACACGGATGCACTCACATACATGCAGGCAATACACTATACACATAAAATAAAAATAATAAATAAAAATTTTTTAAAATAAAAAGCCGGGTGTGGTGGCACACTCCTTTAATCCCGGCACTCGGGAGGCAGAGGCAGGGGGATCTCTGTGAGTTCAAGGCCAGCCTGGTCTACATAGTGAGTTCTAGGACAGCTGGGGCTACAGGGAGTCCCTGTCCCCCCCCCAAAAAAACCAAAAAAAAAACTTGAGCGAAAGGGGTAAACTGCTATATTAATTACTTTCTCATTGCTGGGATCAAATACCCAACAGAAGCAACTTAAAGGAAGAAGGGTTTGTCCTGGCCCCCAATCCAATGTGAGGATGCCGTCCATTATGGTGGGGACGGCACGGCAGCAGGAGTGTGAGGCAGTGGCCAGTCTGCATCTGCACTCAGAGCACAGACAGAGATGCATGCTGGAGCTCAGCTCGCTGTCTCCTTTTCATTCAGCCCAGGACGGCAGTCAATGGGATGGTGTTGCCCACGTTCAGGGTGGGGCTTCCCTCCTCAGTTAAACCTTTCTAGAAACACCCTCATAGGCACATCCAGAAGTATGTTTTCTTGATGATTCTTGATGATTCTTGATGATTCATTCAGTCAAATGAAAAATGAAGCCCAATCTTCATGAGTGGTAAAGCCACAGTGGCCTCCTGAGCACATCCGCTCCTCCTCCTGTGTGGAACTGATCCTGTGCCCCGATTTTCTTTTTCTTTAGAGCATCCCATAATGACTTGCCTTTTCTCCATACTCCTGTGCTGGCATCCTGTCATTTAAAGCCTTCTATCTAGAAAAAGAACAGCTGTCCCTCCCACACCCTGCTGCCTTTTTACCATCATGTCCGGGGGTGCCTTGTGTCTAATCTCTCCACCCCCAGAGAGGTCCTGCATCACTGCAGTCCTTTGCCATGGGCAGATGAGTCTGAAGGAAGGGGCCCTTGTAATTAACTAGTCCAGTCTCCCTGGGAAGAAGAGCCATGGCCGATAATGGTTTGAAATGAAAAGGAATTAACCCAGCCAGAGGCTGCCTGCTGGTCTTGAGGTAATCAGCTGCAGAGCAGGTGTGTGTCTGCATACACACAGGGCCCTGGCACTGCTGACTGAGATTTCAGAGCTCGGGAATTGGAACATTGTGTGCATGATTCATGAAGGGGAAGTAGATGCTGAGGAATTTGAAGAGACTTCTGTGTTAAACTTGCTGAATCCTCTCCAGACACCTGTGTCCTTGTGCCCCTGCAGGGCCAGCGACCTGTCACCTTGATTGGATTCAGCCTGGGAGCCAGAGTCATCTACTTCTGTCTGCAAGAGATGGCTCGGGAGAAAGGTGAGTCCATTCATTGCCACAGATGAAAACCCTTCTCAAGTCGGTTCCCCAGGATAGAGTTTCTGGGCTTTGCAAAGTACTTTCTTAGTTCTTAAAATAATAGTTTAAAAGTAACCATTTTTAAATTGGGGAGGGGTGGTTAAAGCAATGATTCACTTTTTTTCCATACATAAATTAGAATAGAGGAATGAGACAAAGCACCCTATGATGCTGAATTTGGCCCTTGTGCTCTGATGCATGTTCTTGAGTGGAAGTGACAGAGTGGGAAGGTCAAAGTCAAGGTGTCTGCAGGATCAAGTTTCCCGTGAAAGACCAAGAGGAGAAACCTTCCTTGCCTCTTCCAACCTCTAGTGGCTGCCAGTATCCCTTGGCAACCTTTAGTAGTTCTTGGCTATTCTTAGTGGTCTTTGGCAGTGACTGATGGTCCTTGGCTATCTTTAGTGGTCCTTAACATCCTTTGATGGTCCTCAATAGCCTTAATGGTCTTCAATAGTCCTTGATGGCCCTTGGCATCCCTTGGCATCCCCTGGCAGTCCTTGGCAATCTTTAGTGGTCCTTAGTAGTCCTTTGCTTATACTTTACTCCAGTCTCTGTCTCTGTCTCCCCATGGCTCTGTCTCTGTCTCCCCATGGCACATCCTTCATTGCTTTTCTTGTAAGAATAGGGTCATTGACATTAGAACCATTCTGATGCAGGATGATCTCAAGATCCTTAATTAAACCTGCATAGACCCTTTTTCTAGAAATAATGCATTCACAAGTTCTAGCTGGACAAATCTTCTGAGAGGAATCCAACCCGCCAGATATACCTTAGGGAGTGTGTCATGCCCCCAGTGTCACCCTCCTCCCTGAGCCAAAGTTTCGGGAAGTCTGATGGGCCTCCCACTGGCCTTGGGTGGGTAAGGACTCCAGGACTCAACTGGAGCTGGTTCTGCACAAATCCACCAGCAGAGGCTCTGGGGTAGGGGCTAGCTGGGGAATGAGCTGCACAGCACTTTGGAGTACACCACTTTCTTTTTAATGTGTATGAGTGTCTTCCCTGCATGTATGTGTAAGTGCACCTATGTCATGCAATACCTGAGGGTGTCAGATCCCCTGAACTGGATGGCTATTAGCCACCATTTGGGTGCTGGGAACTGAACCCAAGTCCTCCACAAGAGCAGCCAGTGCTCTTAACCACTGAGCCATCTCTCCAGCCCTGAATACTCCACTCTTGCTGAGACATCTGGTCCCCCCCCCAGCTCCCTCCATGTGGCACATGAAGGACAAGAGGCACTTCAGGACACTAAAGACAAGAGAAAGAACTCAGAGAAGAATTCCTGCTCCCAGAGAAAGACAAATGGTCAAGGAGTAGCCAAAGTGACAGCTGCATTCCCATGTCACTGAGCCTCAGTTTCCTCGCTTAGAGAATCGAGAACCCCACCTCATGTGCTATGAAGCAACCGAGGTACCCATGCAGTGTTTTTACCAACCTTCAAACCAGTCAATGCAAGGCTGTTTGTGGGAAGCCTCTGCCCATCAGCTTCTGCTGATCCAAGGCTGCCCCTCTCCTTGGTCAGTCTAAGCATATGACACAATCACTGCCCAACCCACAAGAGCAAGGAGGGATGGGTTGCCTGCCATAGGCTAGACCCGAAGAAGCCAGGATCCATTTCCAAGGATTAGAATCATTTTCCTGGTTACTGACAGAGTGGATATAGCATCCTTGGCCTTGACGATAGACGGTCCACACTCTCGGTGTGTGCTCTGCCCTGAGCCCTTCATTGTCCCCTTCCCCCACTCCCGCTCTCACCCCCAGGGATCTTAATTCTTCTCACTAGCCTCCACCTCCAGAAGGTTCCACCATGCATCAAGCCTAGGGATCAAGCCTTCAGCACATGGGCCTGTGGAAAACATTTATCCAAACTGTAGCGGTGATAATGTATGGAAATGGAGGTCCTATAATAGAGACCAGTTAGACTTTCTGAGCCTTTAGAATATGCTGCGGGGGGGGGGGGGCGGCTAGAGAGATGACTCAGCAGTTAAGAGCACTGGCTGCTCTTGCAGAGGACCTGGGTTTGAATTCCAGCACCCACATGATGACTAACAACCATCCGTGACTCCATTTCCAGGGCATCTGACACCCTCTTCTGACCTCTACAGGCATTGCACGACATGGGTACACTTACACACATGCAGGCTATACACGCATATACATAAATTTTTTAAAAGTTGTAAAAAGAATACGCTGGAGGGCTGAAGAGATGGCTCAGCAGGTAAAGGCACTTGCTGCCAAGCCTGATGACCAGAGTTCAATATATATGTAATAGGATATGCTGGAACTCGCTGGAGCTTAAACAATGGAAGATAGCATGTGGATGGCATGGCACAGAAGCCTCATTGAAGAAAACTTAGTCTTCCATAAGGCCAGGGCCTGCGGGTCCTGTCCTTCCTCTGTCACTCTGTCCACCTGTTCTTCTCCTTCAGCGGTTTCCTTCCAAGTGTCAGCCTGGGTTACTGAGGCAGGAGCAGACTCCATCTGGCTGCCATCTTGAATAGATTCCCCACGTTCTTCCCCAGGTTGCTGTTCTACATCTAACTTATTCCAGCTTGCAGTCTGGTTCCAGGCAGCCCTGGTTATTTAGTACCCAATTAATCTGCACCTAGGGAGACTGTCTCCTAATTGCAGGAAAGCTGCCAAGCTCCGAGTTAGCAACGGAAAAAAGGGTTTGCTCTAATGCATTGGAATCTACCCATTGTTTCCCAGAGTCCCTTGAGAGCCAGTAATGAATGGTAGCCATAAATCCCGGAGTCACCCAGAGCCTGCAGTTCTCTGCCAGCCACCCCTTCCTCCACCCTCCCAACACTGGCTCATCCTTCCTTCCTTCTCTCCAAAACAAAGAACACTCTCTTCATGCTTCATCTCCTTTTTGGGGTGATGCTGTGGACCTTGGGGATTGATGTTCTGGAGAGTCTGCCACCATTCACAGGGGTCCCTCACAGCCTGACCTGCCTGCTTCTCTTCCTTCAGATAAGTGTCAGCTGTAAGCCACTTGCACATGGGAATCTGTCCAATTGGCCCCCATGCTTCCTGTACCCGGGAAAGTAGAGTGTGTATTCTGTGAGTGACTTGAACTTGAGGTCTACCACTGTAAGCCTTCACAGTGTACCAGTCAGGATAGGCCAGGTTATAGGGTAACAACAAACATCCCAATTCTTTCTCTCTCTTTTTTTTTTACATTTGTGTGTGTGTGTGTGTGTGTGTGTGTGTGTGGTGCACATGTGTATATATGTGTGCATATTTTGCATGTGTGGATGCACATGTGTACGGGTGGCATGTGTACATGTGTGCATGTGGAGATCCAAAGCTGATGTCTGGAATTATCCTCACATGGCTTTCCACCTTACTCATTGAGGCAGGATCTCTCAGTCAAACCCAGAGCTCATTGATATGCTGGCCAGCTTACTCAGAATCCTCTGCCTCCACCTTCTGAGGCTGGAACTGCAGTGAGCTGCCTCATCCACTCTACATTTACATGGGTTCTGGGGATCCAAGCTACAGTGCTTACTCTTGCGTGGCAAACACTTTAACCATTGAGCCATCCACAGCCCCAATATCCCCAACTCTTAAAGATATAGCAAAACAAAGGGTTTGTTTCCCACTGACGCTGCCTGTCCACTGTTGGTTGATCGCTGTTGTCACTCGGCCTACCACCTTGTGCCTCTTCTGTAGGGTCAGAGAATATGAGTTATGCTGTGGCCCCTACAGCTGCTTTATCTGGAAGCAATACATGTCACTTTATTTACATTTCATTGACCAAAGCAAGGAGCATGGGTGTTCCTAACACCCAGGAGGGGCAGGTGGGTGACGTCCTATTAGGTGCTCAGAAGGCAGAAAGCCAGTGCCATTTGGTGAATAGCACTAGTCGGTGAATACCGCAAATGTCTTATCCTTATACCCACGGTGGGACCTCACGTTTCCACAAAACAAGATCACAGTGCAGTCTGTTCCTTGAACCTGCAACCTGCACTAGAAATCAGAAGCCAGAAGACCTCAGGAGCATTCTGGTCTCTGCAATGGATTCTCAGCCAAGACAGCATGAGCCTCAGTTTCTTTTCCTGCAAATGGAGACTTCTCTTTCCCTGATCTACCTCACGGGAGCAGTCCAAGTTTAAAAGGAATGGGAAGCCGTCCCAGGAAAGGCAAGCCAGGCAGGCTCTGTTGCCTTTATGGGAGAGCTTCAACAATGGATGGTCCCAGGAGCTCAGGAGCTCAACCACTAAGTCTCTCCACAGTATCCAGCATGTCACCAGTGAAAGGACAAAGCCAACATTAGTGCCCAGCCATGGGTCCCATCAGGCTAGAGCAGGGCTGTGCAGATCCCACTAAAGCCAGGGTTTTCCCACTCCAGAGCTCCTATTTCACCTTAGGATTCTATCACAGCCTCTCCTGGTTGGTTGTTTTGGACCATAGCCACATATCAGATCAGACCACAATGAAATCCACTCCATCGATTCATATTCACTGAGGACCTACTGTGTGCCATGTTCTATACCAGACTGTGGAGAGAGTGGCACAGTCTTACCCTCATGGAGCTTATGGTCTATTGAAATCAACAGCCCTCCCAGAAGCATGAGTTGGGGTCTTGCAGCCTATGTGGGAGTCAGCGGAGGGGGCTACCAGTCATCCCACCCAGCAGGTGGCCCATAGCAGGTGCTTGGGAGTGGGTGTTCTTTTTTAAAATATTTTATTTATTATTATTTTTATGTGTATGAGTGTATTGCCTGCATGTAGGTAGGTGTACCCATAACATGCAATACCTTCAGAGGTCAGAGGAGGTCATCGGAATTCCCTGGAACTGAAGTTACAGATGGTTGTTAGCCACCATGTGGTACTGGGAACTGAACCTGGGTCCTCTGCCAGAGCAGCCAGTGCTCTTAACCACTGAGTCAACTCTCCAGCCCCCAGGAGTGGGTGTTCTTACACACCACATCCCTCGTGGCCACCTGTTTAGAGCTAAC